ACCACTTCAGGATGCAGCCTGCCTAAACAAGTGAGGGTCTTCGGATCTTTCACCACTTCAGGACCGTTCAGGTCTGAAAATCCTGAATGGTCTTGAAGTGGTGAAAGCTCCGAAGACCCTGAAAACCACCTGTTTAGGCAGGCTGCATCCTCAAGTGGTGAAGGGTGGTTTTCATGGTCTTCGGACTTTTCACCACTTCATGACCATTCAGGATTTTCAGACTGCCAAAAACTCTCACTTGACCACTTCATGACACCCTTCACCACTTCAGGATGCAGCGTGCCTAAACAAGTGGTTTTCAGGGTCTTCGGACCTTTCACCACTTCAGGACCATTCAGGATTTTCATACTGCCCAAAAATCTCACTTCATAATTTTCATTCCCGAATTTTCAGCTACCCGATAACCGCTTGTGGAAGTAGGAGGCTCGGTACCCGTGGTCCTGCAAACACTCCGAGCACGGGGGTTGGGGCCAGTAAAGAGCGATTGTGAGTCAGGGGACGACGGTTAAGGTGTGATAAGGTAGGACGTGGTGATAGGGAGGGAATTCGGTCCCCAAGATAATGATCCCGGGCTTCGTGATAACGTGACACGTGTATGGGTTAGAGTAGTGAGGGAGATGGGGGATACGTCCCAAGGCCTGATCGAGGTCCCACTCGCAAATACGTTCGTTTCCCGTCAAGTAGGGAAATTCCAGACGTCCCGCCCCCGGTGGTACAAACAAACAAGAGTGCTCCCAATATTCCCGGAATTTTCGATGCCTCAAGCATTCGCAGTCAATGATACGAAAGGGAACGTTGAAATTCATGCTGCAGCTCGGGGTGGAAAAACAGTCATTCGGGGAATTGGTCGATTTCAAGTTTCGCAGACGCGCGTGTAGGCAACGATCATCTTTGATCGAGCCTATGCGTGCGCACACGGGACCTGTCCTTCGATCACATGGATGAAAGCCAATAGTTCGCGAGATGGATTGTCCTATAGTGAGACGGTCATCGAATTGTCTAACATGCTCATCTAATTCATATACAGACATAATCACACCTAACATCCATGCATCTAGCTTGCATACAAACAGAAGGAATCGAGGATCCTTATGCAACAATGTTTTAGCCAATCAGTCCAGAGATCGCACAAGGCTCGATCGCCGGTAACCAATCAATCAGATTTGCCGATTCACAAAGACAGGGAGTGGTGGAAAACAATCCATACACCAGTCTCCTAAGAAGGGAAACAAGGAAAAAGAAAAATATGCGATGCCGATAAAAAAAAGACAAGGGCGACTGACGCCGAATACCAAAATTGCTCAGAAGGATGGAAGAGAAACATCACCACAACACACCCCGTCTCTCTCTCTCTCTGTCTCTCTCTCTGTCTGTCTGTCTCTCTCTCTCTCTGTCTGTCTGTCTCTCTCTCTCTCTCTCTCTCTCTCTCTCTCTCTCTCTCTCTCTCTCTCTCCCCATAACATCCCAATGAGGACAGTCTCACCTCGCACCCACTCAGAGTTGTCACTCCGCTTAGTCCGAGCATGCAAGCCAGGTTCGCCCGTGCGCCACAGTCCGTCGTGGCCCCACGTCAACCCCGCATGCCCAACACCAGCTCGTCGGATCGCCCAACTCTTTACTCACCTTCCAACTCTTGCTCGTTAGTCAATCCTCTCGACCGCCCTAACTTCCAAAATTCTTAGAGATCGAGTTAATCACGCTTGGGAAATTTGTAGCATGCATGCTTGCGCGAGATCCTCGGGGTTGTGCCTGAGTGGAAAAGAAGGAGGAGGAAGGAAGTGCCTACGTCTGCATGGCTGGGCCGCGACGTGGGGGGCGTAGCCTCACTCCACACATCGATCCGGTCATGCACGCGTTTAAGCCAATAGGACTGAGGAAGAAGTACGCTCGCACAGGGACGCCACAAAAGATATAAAGAACGAGAGGATTACAATTGCAATTATGCCCGCCAAAACAAATGTTACAGCTACATGTAAGGATTGAGGCGCGGAAAAGTCAGAACACCGATCCTAACGCGGCAAAGCCTGCGCAAGCAAGAAGCGTCGTGCAAAAAAAATTGAGATGCGCCCAGATTCCTAATCCAAATCCTAATTGCAAAAAGAAATTTCGAACGACGCAATTTCCGAGAGCCCACAAAAGCTCGACATCAGTTGAAAATTCAAAAAGATTCTCCCGCGCGATGATCGCGCCAAAATTCTCATTTCCCACAGCAGAACAAGAAAGAAGCTATAACAATAGTTATCTTTCGCGCTCGCTAAGCCGCGATCAACTACCAACCGTCACAAGATTACCCCGACCTCGATTCCGAAAAACAAGAAAAGCAAGGGCACCCATGTAATCCAGCGGGCCCTCCCGATTCAACCCCCGAAGTAGCCTTGCACAAAAAATCGTGCGGTTGCAGAAAACAGTTCGTCACAGAGCATCTTCTAGCAGACAAACAAAAGCTAAAAAAAATTCTACGATATTCTACAACAATGGGACAATTTTATGGTTCATATAACCTAGGGATAGCTGGGGGAGGAAGGAACTACCGGCTTCCCCCGAACACAACACACCCTCATTTTGACTGTATTGGGCCGGAAACATGCCTTGCATTGTTTATTTTTAGGGTGCGTTATGTTCGGGGGGAGACGGCAGGGTGTAAAAGCAGGTATTTTCCTTTTAGCTGCTCAACCAATCCTTTGGATTCCAGAGCAATGAATGGTGGCAGGCGTCGGTCAATCCTCTCGCCTGATATCCTTCAATTTCATTATGTATTTGAGACGCTGGACCCATTTTCCAGCAGGCGATGCTCCCCACCAATAGATGGAGCCCCCCCTAGGTGCTAGAGGTGTCTGCTTTTATCAGCACCACTAGCACTGGAGGGGTTCAAAAAAAAAAGAAAAAAAAGTATAATTTTGTTTCTTTTCATTTTTTTTGACGTAATATTTATGATTAATATGTATGAAATAAGTGTTCTTACAATACGGGGAACCCCGTAACAGCCAGAACTGTGTTCACGAGAGAACATGAGGGGGCTGCTCCCGACCTGCAGGTGGGCGATACCGGCTACGGCCGGTAGCATCAGGGACCATGCCAACAGGACCAATCCGTATGCGGTCAGATACATTTGAGATAGTGATAGTGTGAGTACGCCCGAAGACGGTATAACGACTACTTAGGATAATAAAACAGGCTGGCCGAAGGGGTACGACGACCGGTACCGCTCGGAGAGCTTCGCAACGAACGAAAGGAGGTCGTTCAACCCGCCGAAGCCGGTCGGACCATTGCGCAAAGTCGGCAAATGACCGACCAAGATCGATCCAGCGCAAGGCGCACTTACCGAAGGTCGCATTTTCTTGTCGTCGAGCTCCTTGTCGCGCACTCCCAAGGAGCGCGCTGTCGCAGAGTGGACAAGTCCCGCATGAGGACGCGGGAACGGCTGTAGAGCGTCAAAATGGCGCGAGAAGTCAACTAGCCGACTCCCAACGGTAAACTGCTGCCGGCATTCGTCGCTGCTACGCCCCGCTCGAGTTCCTGGCTCTCAGCAGCCGGCTTGAGCTCTGCCCGACTACACGTGTCGACCCCGATCGCGGTCCAGTTCGAGGTTGCCGAGTGGATCTGTGTCTCGCCTGTGGGGTCAGTCAAGTCATCAAGTCGACATTCAGACGGGTTGCTGTTGTTGCGACGACTTCAACAGTTACCTTCCGCTAGGTATTCTCCGTGCCGTTCTATGGACCTGCTTGACCTATGGATGGAAGGAGGAGGAGTAGGAGGAGGTGGAGGATCAATCTGAAGGTGAGGGAGCGATAATGTGACGGGGAATGGGTGCTTGCCCAGAGGAGGAATTCAGCTGGAGCATCCAGGGAATTCTGATGCTATTCTCTGTAGCTGAAAGTGCAAGATGAACCTGGCAGAGGTGGTTGGTTGGGGAAGCTTGCGTGGAGGTCGTCATCACGTGATGAGTGTCATCTTGCGGGGAAGCAGAACGTCGTTTCGCACAGCCACCAGGTGTCTGTGAAGAGGCTGATGTGCGTGGAACAGCAATTTGTTTTTAGTCTCTCTGCAGACTCTTTCGGTGGATGATAACATATCTGTCCTGTGTGTTTTCTCTAACTTTTTTTGTTTCTTTCCTTCCTTTCTTTCCCATTTGCTATTCTTCTGAGAGCACTTTTTTCATTGATGGATTACCGCACTGATATTTCTCCCGGCATTTGTGTGGAACTTCTCTTGGCGCAGCACGTTGATAGGACATAGAAGGCGTAGTGGGCAAGACAAGACATGAAAGATGTAGGTGTTTTCCTCCCGAATTGTCTACCATGTGACCTCCGTTACTGCAGCATTTGTTTATTTCATGGTGYCAGCGGCATTCCTCCTAGGTATTGTCCTYCTTCCTTTACTCGGTTGTTATCCGTCTTGTCTTATCTTTCTTTCCTCCGTCCGCCTGGGGCTGGCATGAAGCCATGCTCTCTCATTGGTAGTCCGATTCAGTTAGACATAGAGAGCACGACCTGTACCGTTCGTGAGTCAGCATAGGGAGATGAATTGTACTACATCAGCATGCCCTATACACGAGAAAATTCGGTGTTAGCATGTGTAGTCGTTTTTCACGAAGATTGCCTCAGAACGTCCCTTCTTTCTTTCCTTCCACTATTCCTCTTGCTCCTCATCCTCTATTTTCGGCCGGCAACCACGACATGGCTCTACCAACGTTGGTCGCTCCGGTGCATGTATTCCTTGAGCTAAGGATTGGCGAATGCAATCAACCATACGTTAGGGAGACTTCTGATTATAGGTTCTAGCAGATGAGTAGAAGAGGGACAGATCCTCCTCAACTCCAGTAGCCGAGTGCATGAGTGAAGGTTTGCCATTGTCGGGTCGTTGCGATGTCTCTGAGGGCATCGGTGGTGACGGAATTGTAGGAAGGGACAGGGAGGCCAGGTGTGGCCGACGGGCGGGGCAGAGTGGGGAAGATTCTCCGGGYACTGGAATTCGTACATGRGAGTGCGGAGGGATGAAAGGCGTGGCCAACAGCTGGCCTGCCGGTAGGCGGGCGAAAATTCTCCGGCTGCAATTCTTTGCAAGTTTATAGTGTATACCGAACAATCAATCATCTGGAGTCGGAAAAAGGTTCATCAAACATGCCGCCCAAGCAAATTCGAATTCCTGACCTCCTTAGGGCCAGTAAGCCCACGTCCGCACTTGGGGGTGCTGATGTGGCGTTGCCAAAACTAGCTGGTGCTGACGTGGCATCGAGGAAACTTGTGGGCTCTGACGTGGTCTCAGCCAGGGGGAAGAGATCTCGGGGAATCGCTTTAGAAGGTGATGGCGCCGTTGTTGAGTTTGGCAATTCCGCAACAGCGGATATCGTGGGAGGTGACGATGTGGCGCTCTTACCTGAGAGGAAGAGGGCTCGGCGTCAGATTGTCCSGACGATGGCGGCGGCCCACTCTCTGAAGTCTCGCCCGCGGGGAGGAGAGGAGTGCGCGAGAAAGGAGTTGCAAAGCAGCGCATGCAAGAAGAGAGATGCTGAGGTGCCAACGAGAACGGTCAGTGCACGGAGACGCTTGTCCTCGGTAAGTCGTATGCAATAAGCSTGCTCCTGAATTAKCATCCTTTCCATTTCCTCATGCCGTTGTCCTTTGCTCCCTATTCCTACTTTCTCTCCATCCCTCCGCCCAATCCTACCTTGGGTCAGTGTCGTTGCTCAATTTGATGATGATCCTCTCGATTGATTSATCCAAGGATGATGGGCTCGGCTCCGGTTGCCTCAACGTCTTGACAGTCGAGCAGCACCATAGGGTAGGTTGAAAATCTATCTTCTTGATTGGTATTTCAGTTGATTGCTCTTTGTCAGCGTCGTGATTGGTGTGTCGATTGGGTCCTTATTGGTGTCGCAATTTCTTTCTTAGGTTGATAGCTTTGTCGATTARTATGTCGCTAGTCTTGATTCTCTTCCGTTTAGTGAAGTCCCCGTTGTCCCTGGCATTACGAAATGGATTCTATGCTGCGATTGCCTAATGATGCATGCTGCACGTATCCGTGTGTGTTGATTGGCAGTGGTTAGTCTTTCGCTTATAATGCTTTAGGGTTCGTTTTGTTGCAGGAGCATGGCGGCACGGGGAGTGCTGTGGAAGGAAGCTCCTCAGCAGCAGCTGATATAGGTGATGACGAGCCCRATTCGGAAGCAACTGGACAGGTAATGGGAGGGGATCCATCCACGTCGACTTCTTGTTCGGCAATCCTCCAAGGGGGAGGAGTCACTCCTGAACAGTTGCGAGCTGCCCTTAGCAGGCGCCTGACCACTGAGAATGGGGAACTCCAAATTTCCGACGAAAGAAGAGAGAATTTGCTGGAGCAGCAATATGGGGGTTCTCCACCGTCAGATGTGGCAGCTGTCAAGCGGGAACCCTCTCAAACTATGTCTGATGTTGGGAAAGCCGGCAATGCCGTTCGGGTGGAGGAGGGAGCAGGACGAGGAAGGATGCCTATTAGCACCCGGAGATCTGGCTCTGTTGCTGAATCGCCTTCCACATCAGCACCGAGCTCGCCTCGGGGGGCGAGTCCACGCCAGATTCGCACCAGCCCGCGTCATCATCTTCCGCCCAAGCCCGTCGTAGATGTTCGTGCTGCACCTTCTTCCCCAAAGGCTGTTCTTGATCGTGGGCGAGGAGGCAAGCCATTACAGAGCTCGTTGGACGGATGGGCGCGAGTGCAGAAGGGTCCAACTCCTTTGCGCAACTACGGCAGTAGGGGGAGTTTGATGGCTGCCCTTGTGCTGGGGAAATGTGGTCCTCCCACTCCACCTATCAAGTCCACACCGACGGGGGCGGTGAGGGAGTTGGGTGCTGCCGAAGAATGCGAAGGGGTTTCTGAGACAAGTAGGAATTCAGCAGTAACGGAGGATGCCCCTGGCAAAGAGAGTGGAGGCTCCTCGCCTCGACGTGGTGGAATCTTGGGCTGGGCAAGACGTGTCACAAGGCACGGAGTGAAAGGAGGTATGACAAGTCCCGAGCGGCGGCCCAGGAGGGAAGGAGGTGCGGTAGGGGAGAGCGGTTCACCAACCCTCCTCAAGAAGCCAGCGTCAATGCGAGATGCAGAGCCGGCAGTACAGGGTGTGAGATCTTCTGGCAAATTGCCTCCCAAGTAAGTCCACTTCTTGGCCTTATGTCTTCTGCTTTATCATCCAGGATTCAGGCCGGATTTACTGCAGCTCGGTGTTTGGTTGATTGATAAGCTGATTGATTGATTGATTGATTGATTGATTGATTGATTGATTGAATGTTTGATTGATTGATTACTAAGCTGCTAGCTAATTGACCAAAGCGATTGCTTGTGTTACTTTGCGGAATTGTATCATTCAAGTGTCCAATTGATTTGTTAATAGATGGCCTGTAGAAGCGGTTGAAGGCAATGTGGTCATGTTGCCCTTAGTAATGGAGCGACTGTATTCCCTTTGGGAGAATGCATTCGCCCCCGTGTAAAAATAATCAGAGTGTGGTATTGACCTTGTTTATTCCATGTTACCTTGTGGTAATCGGTCATGGCGTTCTTCACCATTCAAGATCCCGCACGTGTCCCCTCCTGTGTGTTTCGTGAACGGAAGGTCGTTGTATGGTTCAAGGAAAGCTAATCGTCTAAGCAAGCATGGCCTATTTTATGTGGTCATAATTGCCAAATCCGTATCTAACAGTCATGCCGTTCGTTCATCTTCGCATGCTTGGTATTGAGTACTCCATCGTAGGAGCAGTATCTTCTATCCACCGACCTACATGTTCTGGGTTCAGTCCTGTCTCTGTCAGCTCGTACTCTGTCGGTTTGAGTAGTGATAGATCGTGCCCTTCCTCTTTCATCTGGTTATGAATCTGAAAATAATCGACCGGTCTGTCTACGTATCAATCCATTTGTCTATCCTCTGCCTATCACCTGCATGTCCTTCGTTCGGTACCTCTCCACCTATGTATTCGTTCGGCAATGCAGGGTGCCATTGCGTGGCAGCCCAGTCAAGCCAACGACGAGCCGATTAATTTGGCAATACGCGGTGCCCTGTTGGCTGCAGAATTTAATGGAGAGCAATCTTGATGTTTCGGTGCATCCACCCGGTTCGGCTCTGCATGGAACGGGAGTGACTTTTCTATCAAATGACACGCTGGTATCCCTCCCTCTCTATAAATGCCGTTTCGTTAATCTGGAGTAGTTCTGACATATGC